CCTCCTCCTCCTCCTCCTCCTCCTCCCCCTCCTCCTCCTCCCCCTCTTCCTCCTCCTCCTCCGAGGCGGAGGCCCGTGCTCGGGGCCAGGCGTGAGGCAGCGGCCCAGGCGAAGCACGCGCGGAAACTCGCCTGTGCTGCACTGGCGGCGCACGAAGGATTTGTGGTTCGCCGTCTGGTCCGGAGTGCAACTGCTGCGCCGAGCAGCAGGCTCATCAGGATTGGGAAGGGGGGCAGGCGTAGAACAAAAAGACCGGAAGGATTCGCTGGACCACCCATGTGCACCCCCCTGCCAGACCTCACACCGCACTCGGCGAGGGGGCGATGGAAGGAGAGGGAGGCGGAGCAGGGACGAGGGGGAGAAACACTTGGGTGAGGAGTAGCCCTGGTACAGCCGCGCACGCTGTGCATCAGGTAGCACAGCGGCCCCACGAGCTGCGTGGAGTCGCACTTCCTCAGCACGTGCTCCATAAACGCCTCGCTCTCCTGTTCGCGAAGCGGCAGGGTCCCTGGGAGAGGAGAAGGGGCCCAGAACAGAGGAACCCGAACCAATCTGGCACCCCAAGATAACCGCAACATGATTGGGTACGTGGTGTGATCAGACACAACAAGATGGCGCCCCAGGAACGACGACAGGTCACCTGACCACACCGAAAGAAACAACAACTACGGTACCTCCTGGGCGCGGGAGGCCGCCCTGGCCTGGACCCTGGCTATACCGGCGTGGCGGTTGGCAGGGGCCGAAACGGCGCAAACTCCAACCTGACTGAAAAAGGGGCCGCGCGACCAACAGTTGCGCGCAGCCCAGGACTGGGCCCGACGCCCTTTCCGAAAAGCCTGCGGTACCTCTTCACCTTCGAGGGTACAGTCGGGCCGCTGAAAAAAGGAACGTCAAATAAGGAACGAAACCCCTTCTTGGCCCTGCAAGCGCCTCCGTGCCCCAGGAGGGCAAGAGGAACAGCACTGGAGGAACCTGAGGAACACCGGGCCCCTTCCGAACCCAACCTGGTCCTTATTTCACCGTCTTGGCTGTACGAGGCAAACGTGCACAACTCAAATCGGCCCTGCGACCCTGAGTGCAACCCGCCGCACCGAACGCAAACACATGCGGATCGGACTTCCTTGAAGGGACCCCAGGGTTAGATTGTTCCCATCGTGCTTGAGGACCACATCCCAGGAAGAAATCCGAGCACCCGGAAAAGTGTCGAAAGAGTGTCGAGCCCTCAAAGTTCGGTGCTTCTCTGGTGCTCGAGGAGGAGGAGGAAGAAGAGGAGGAGGAGGAGGTAGGAAGAGGAGGAGGAAGAAGAGGAGGAGGAGGAGCAAAAGGAGGAAGAGGAGGAGGAGGAGGAGGAAGAGGAGGAGGAGAGAGGGAGGAGAGAGGAGGGAGGGAGGAGGGAGGAGGGAGGAGGGAGGAGGTAGGAGGGAGGAGGGAGGAGAGAGGAGGGAGGGAGGAGGAGGGAGGAGGAAGGAGGGAGGAGGGAGGAGTAGATTTCTGAGATTTCCCCCCAGGACGACGTCCCCTCCCTTCCTGCCTGCGGTCCTGCAGGCGGCGGCGGCGGCCGCGGGCCTCCTCGCGGCCTCTCAGGCCTCGCCGCAGACCTCCATGGAGCCGCAGGTCTCCCAGCTGTCCATGCGCGAGGGCTCGATGCCGTCGTGCTTGTATTAGTTGTCGAACTTCTCAATATGCTACGTCAGTCAGTGCTGTCGTCGAGTACTCAGTGCAGAGCTGCGTCAGTGCTGGTTGTGTCAGTCTGTGCTGAGTAGTGTCAATCAGTGTTCGGTGCCGTCGCGGCCTTTGCACTTCTTGATGCTGCTGGAGTCGAAGTTGTGCTAGTCGGTTGTTCGTTGGCGTGCTTTCTTCTAGCCCTTACCACATAATCAGCTCGCGACTTGGGTGGAGGTGGGGCACACTCCTGCTCGAGCTTCTCCGATATGTAGTGCTTCGCCACGCTGCCGCATTTGTAGCAGTAGTACCCTTGGTCCCGCTTGTGCCATTCGATCTGGTGGGAGTAGTGTGTTTGGCGTCCTTTGAAGGTTAGAGGTGGCTTCTTTGCTGTCGCTGTGATACTGCATGTGGAGAGTAGCCACCACCTTGCTGTAGTGCTGCGTCGTCGGAGGACTGACTGTGCACATGCCCCACAGCGCCATCCTGTCGGAGTCTGTTGTACCTGGTGCAAGCTCAGTGTTGCCAGCTCGTCAAGGGTTGGTGCTGGTGGTCTTCGCGATTTGGCTTCTCTCCTTAGTTTCGTTCGATCTTCCCAACTCATTGGTGGTCGTCGTTCCATGCAGTCCAGTGTGGCTTGTGTAATACGTTGTCTGACCAGGTTGCCTATCGCTCGTACCCACTCGTAGCATCCAAGTTGTGCTTCAGGTATGGCGTGTTCTTGTGCTGCGGTGTCGGCTTGTTCGTCTGCTGCTCTGTTGCCGAGCCACGCCCATTCTGGTATATCTCTTCGTCGAGCGTCTTCCCATTCGAGGTGGCTTTGCATATGTCTTATCTGGATGTGCTCGTCACCTTCCCCCCGATGGTCGATGGCGTCCATGATCCGCATCCATATGTCGCCATTGCCGAAGTGGTACGTGTTGGTTATGTGTCTTTTGCGCCTCCAGATTCTCATACGTACTTCTGAGTCCGTCCAATAGATGATGGGACCCTGCGAGTCCTGCAACACGCTGAGTACTGCCCACATCTCCGCTTGGTTGTTCGTCTGTCTTGGTCCTGGTAATGGACCCCGCGTAGTTGCTCGCACAGTCGTGTGGTTCATGCAAGCCCATCCCCATCCGCACCGACGGTGCCGTCGGTCTGCTGGCATGGCCCCTCCGCTGCCGTCACCGCAGAAGTGTAGTGGAGTGCCGTCTGCGATCAGTTGGCCGTGCTGGACGTCGCCGCTGCAGGCGTGCGAAGGTTCCGTAGTGCATGGTGGTGGGCAGGTCATGGGTCGTGGAGTAATGCCTCTGAGCCAGAAGGCAGCGTTCGTCTCGATGCCTTCTTTTGCTCGCTCTTTGAGGTGCTCAGTTCGTTCGTATATGATGCGTTGTCGTCTTTGTGGGCAGTCTCCCCAGATGCGGTGGTAGTCGCCGTCAGCCGCTCCACATTCGCATAGGTTGGGCGTGCCGCAGGCGTCTGCGATGCGCTGCCGTGGCCAAGTCCCAGCGCATGCAGCTGCCAAGAGTGCCCCATGTCGTTGATGCTTGCCCCGTCGGTCGAGGTGCTGGAGGTGGCTGATGAGGTCCTGCACGTCGGCGCCCTTCTCGAGGCCGCTGCCGTTGTGGTGCTTGCTGGCTTGTCTCCATTGCTGAAGCTCGACCTGGCTGGCCAGCGCGTCGATGACGTTGGTTGGGTCTCCGTGCGCGCCCCCCTCCCTGAGCAGCCACCCGTCGCCCTGGGGGTCGATCCAGTAGTCGGCACGCTGAGGGTCCCAGCCCAGGTCACCCAACGTGGTGATGAGCGCGGCAATAATGCCGCGCTTGCGTTGCCATCAAAGTCCATGTTGTTGCTGCTGTAGTCTGGACTTGGTATTCGGCCACGCTCGTCGAATACGCTGTCGTACTTCGTGGGATGCCGTCCACATATCAAACCATGTAAATTGTGCTTTACTGATAGATACCGGAGGATCTGTTCCTTCAACTGCAATGAGGGTTGTCAGGTATCTGCCTGGCCACGCTCGTCGTAGTGCTCGTGCGTGGCGTCATCGTGTCTGTAGTCTCTCGTTGGGCGATGCTCCGTGCGCCTTGGCCCCGTACAGCAGGGATCCCATGGCCCCCTGGGCTAGCACTCCTCTCACTCTGTGCCGTCTGGCTCTTCTGAAGCGGGTGCGTACCAGGTTCATTGTTGCCCAAGCTTTCTTTTTGCGTGCATGGTGTGTCCGTCGTAGTGTGCATGTGCGGCTGCCCCTGTCGATGTCGAGGTCGCGCCCTTCGGTGCTGCCGTCGATGTGAATGTTGTGGTCAGCTAGCCGTTTGATGGTCTCTTTGGCGTCCTTCATGTGTGTCGTGATGATGACCGACTTTGCCGCAACCTCTAGTCCTTGTTGCTGTAATGCCTCGTGTAGCGTCTGAGTCGGGTCGACGGCGCCTTGCACCAGGGTATCCTCGGAACCGTACAGCTGGACACCGATGTCGCCGAACCATGTTCTAGGCTCAATCTTCGTAAGTTTGCTGCTGCACTGTCGCAGGACGACGTATATCAGTGCTCGAACGAGGTTGTTCGAGCGTCTGGCCCCTGCTAAACTGGAGCGGCTTGCGTATATCGGCGCGCTATAGCATCCATTGAGGCGCAGGAATCGCACTGAGAGGTAATCTGCATGGAGAGTGCGAGGATCCTGCTGGGGAATCCGAGTTGGCTCGCGCCCATAGCATCTTGCAGAAATTGGGCGAGCCGTAGAACCTCTTGATGTCGAGAAGCGTCGTTGCTGCCCGAATGCTGTAGGTGTCCGCGATCTCGTCACCTAGGGCTCGCAGCATGGCTTCTCGCAGGCAGCTGTTGCCCGCGACCGCGGCGTCCCATGGTTCCTCTATATCCTTGGCCCACCGTCGTACTCTGTCTCGATGCATGAGCTCCCAGGTTCGGCAGATCCAAGGTAGAAGCGCCAAGGCGCGGTCGCCGCCGTCGGCGAGTGCGCTTGCTCCTTTGGCGGTGGCTGGCTTGGGCTGGATCATGAATATGGCCTGGAGTGCTTGCCACGGCCATGTCACGTCGCGGTCGATGGTGTTGAGTAGCTGGGTTAACTCGTCTCTGCCTGGTCGGTCCGTGCCCCGTCCCTTGTCGGGTATGCCAGCGATGTCCTCGTCGAATTGCTCTCTGCTCCATGTAGTGGTTGGGGTCGTCAGGGCTTGTTCCCGTAGATCCTTGAGCAGCTGGGCGTGGGTGATGTGGTCGTCGTGGGCGTCGCTCCAGATGTTGCTGAACGTCGTGCGCTTGAGGTCTGTGCGCTCGATAGTGGAGGTCGCTGTCGCGGCGCCGTCAATCATTTCGTCCTCATGCCGCGTGCTAGGTTTCGTCATCCTGTGCATGGTGCCGTTGTCGCAGCTGTTGGCTAGCCATGTCGCGTAGCCTCGGCTGCATCTCAAGTCACGCCGGATCGCTTGGATTGCTTCCTGCGCTGCCCTCGCAGCCATGCCCTCGATAACGTCGGTAGGTACGTCCTGGATGTTGGTGAGCCGGTCTTTCCAAAGTGCTCGGTGCAATCTGGCTGAGTGTGTCGCTTTGGCTCCTGCTGATGGTACTCCGTCGCGTGCCAGGTGTCGACAGCAAGCTTCCAGGGCGCGCACTTCTTCGTGTCCGACTCCTCGCTGTCCTAGACGGAATAGCGCCGTGAGGGAGGTTTCAGCGCGAGCCCACCAGTTGGCCGTGTATGTGGCATACCTTGGTCGTCGTATCCCACGTTCTTCTTGTATGCATGATTTGAGCTGGTAAGGCTGTCCTCTTCCTCTGTAGCGCTGCAGCTCGCTCTCGTGAATCTTGTGCGCCCTGCAATAGAAGTTCT